CAAAGTGCTGCAAACCCTCAAAAGCCAATTGTTTCATCTCTTTAATCTTTCCTTGTAATTTTGAAATCTCCGCGTTGGATTTCTCTAACTTGGCTTTAGCTTCTCTGAGTTTTTTCTCCATGTTAGCCATTTGCAATTCAACCATCCTCCTCTGAGAGAGAGGCTCGAGTTGATCGTACAACTCGTGGCTCTTAAGATCTTCCGTGGAAAGATTTTGCGTTTTCTTGATGCAATCAGTTTTCAGTCTTTCCAAGGAAAAATTTTGGGCGACGATTAGGGTTTTCATGATGGAGCTGATTTCGTTCTTTTTTTCCTTTCCCCACAGAAGATAATCTTCACATTTTTGTGTGAGTACTGTCATTTGGTATTCTCGAGCAAGAGGCAACAAGAAATCCAAGTTGTTGTCTGTCACTCGTTTGCAGAAACTCGGATAAATAACCAGCAACATCTCTCTTATTTCAGTAACTTTCTTGCCGGGTAGCGGGATCTCATCGGCATCTTTCTCTTTAAATTCTGCGGAGAACATTCGAGAGAAAACAGGAGAACACATCGACAACATGAGACGATGGACATGGATTTTCTGTCCTTCCACCAGTAGAACAACATCGCTCTGTTCCCACGGCTCTGAAAAGTCTTGTTCATGTTCTTGACCTTCTTTGCCTTCTTGCTGCATTTTTATGTTGCATACAACGAAATGAATTTGTTATTCAGGGTCAGAGAGGTCTGATCAACAACTTCTCTAAACTAACAATGCCTTCTCAGAAAGCGCCAGAATAAAATTAACTTCCTTCTTTCTAAGAAAATGGTTCAGCTTCATAACGAGGCTAAACAAACTCTCGGTCCCAGTTTTCTGTTCATTGAACGTGTTTCAGGACCGACGACATTTCGACTTGTTCTCAATTGAATTACGCCTTCGCTCGTCGTTATTCCTGGGGGTAATTGTGGGATCGCTGGATAGCGCTTTGGTCAATATCTCAGACCTAAGTCAGAACTCAAACTTCCAATCGTCTCCAATGTAAGCTGAACCCGTTTGAAGATTCAGTTCAAACGGCAAAGCAAAGGGAATAAAACCTATCATATTAATAAATTGTGCTCCATATATGTCTACGACTACCACATTCTACCATTATTATCACGCGCCTCTTCTCCTTTGCATTCTTTGGAATGTCACATAACAATCACTCTATCATCTCTTAAGAGGGAGCATTGCGTGACATTGCGTGACATTGCGTGTGTCTACTGAAAAGATTGACTAAGATTAAAACTCTCAGAATTGATTAACATGTTCCTTCTTCTCACAATATCCATATATTTCCAGCAAACAGATAATGAGAACACTAAAACATTTTAGTATTAGGATGGCTAATTTACATATTATTTTAAAACACCGCCGCTATTGACGATGAGAACGATCAGTAATCAGACCCAATCTGCACAAGTCCAGTGATTAAGTGCATATATTTGTATTGGTCCAGCTTGTATGCGAAACTGTAATATCCTCATTTGAAATTATTTCTTCTTTTGCATTCACGTGGCTTTCAATGATCAGTCGACACTTATTTTCTTGGCGTAGCTAGTGTCCGTTCGGTCCGGCAATTTGCGGATTGCTTATATATCGAAAGAACAACAGAAGTCGAGTTGCTGAGTTCCAACACGACTTGGTCTTAAAATTATGGCTTCTTTCAATGCATAAGATTTTATTTTGCAAAGACGTTTTATAGGGCATGTCTTGAAAGCTACCACCAGCCTGGCAGTTCGTTGGCTTCTCTTTCTATCAAGAACAATCTAAAAAAAAAGTAAAACCACAGACCTTTGTGGTTTAGTGTAAATAGTTTAAGCAAGTACTAACCTTTGTGCACCTGACGAAAAGCTCAGGAAGAATAAGGATATTTTCGCGAAGGATAGGAATAAATCACTCCCGTTCAATCTGTGCATCCGTCGGCTTATCCATGGATGTAACGACTTCTTTCTCACAGGTTTTTGACCAAACTTGGACACCATCTACCTGCTAAAACAGGAAAAACATAAGAAAAACAACCGTCGTTAGTCTATGACCGGACAAAACAAAGACAAAACTTCACCTTAAGCAAATGAAAACTAAACACCGGCCTACAGGAAGTACAACGGAAAATAAGCTGATAAATAGAAAAAACCGCAAATCGAAATATTTTTCGAAGTCAAAGCTTTTCTTTATCCTAACTGTGACAGCCTTTACAAGTTGTCAAGTGAAGTTTGGACGACGTTTAGACGTATGGCACGTCTTTAAAGTCATTTATAAACTGTATAAGTGTTCTTTTAAAAAATATAACAGTCGCATTGGTGTGTGAGGTTGCAAAGAATATCTAAATACTTCAGGAGAGGATGAGTAGATAGATTCCTAAAGATGATTATGTGCATAATTAAGTCGATTGGAAACCGCGGGCGTCAGGGAAGACATATGGAAGGGTTGTGGTAAAAACAGTGTAAGTTGAAAATGACTGAGAATGTGTTGACAGAAGATAAGTATGGGAAGTCTGCGTTGTTACCTATGGCTATCAAAATTCTTTTTTTTTTTTTTTTCCGAGAATTTTTCTCCTAAGTTCTCCGTATGTCCGCTTCGTATTAATCGCCTCAAGGCATGCATGTGATGAACTGGAATTCACCTAGTAATATAGTGGTATTTTTAGGTAGACGTGACTCCATATGACTCTATTTTTAAGAATAGAGTCCTATGGTAAAGTACCGCATTTTCCTCCCACTCTAGGAAATGAATTAAATATTAATCTCTTGGCTCAGTTCAAGGCATTGGTAAAAAGATGCTGATTTTTTCAGCAAGGAGATCGAATCTCCTGACAGTTCTATATCAGTTTTTTTCCACGGCAATGAAAAGTAGGAAAGAAATTGAGCGTGCAAATATGGAAGTACACAGAGATGTAGGTGATCATGTACAAAAGATTCGTGAAACTTTCGCTTCCTTGTTTAGTCTACAACGAGGAAAAACTGTAGCTCGGTAATGAGTAGAAGTGGACGATTTTGCGATGATCAAAATACAAAATTCGAAATTGCAGTAAAAACCGAATATGTTCACCTCGAAATAAGTGGGAAATCTTCCCTTTCGCTCTCATGAGCTCTCTCGATCACCGATTTCGGATGTTTCCTTCTTCATACGCGTACAGAGCGACGGTTGTAAATAGTGAAGCGCTAACAGGGCAGCAATGACAAGTTATTCAAACTAATCTATTTGACATTAGTGGCCGTACGTGCCTTGCATACGATATCAACTCATGTGCTAAGACGCACGTGACCGCATGTAACACATTTTGTCGCACGGAAGCGAGTGTTAAGTATTTCAGAATTACTTTGTTTTCTCTAAATCACTTTGAAGTGAATTCTTTTATGATGTTTTAATGTTTTGAGTTGTGATTAAAATTATGGTCGAGTCTCCGTTCTTAGTAACAAAAACAAAAACAAAAAAACCTTCATTAGACTTCTTTTTAATGATTCATCACTGAGTCAGTGGCCTCACAGCTTAGCATAATGAAACAGTTTGATAGATAATCAAACATCACGTTTCTTTGTTTTGCTTTTTTTTCCGCACAGAAGCCTTGAAAAATCTCGTTTTTTAACAACTTGTTTTGAAATAAAGTTTTTTTTAAGGAATTTTTCTTAAGCTAAGATTTAAACAGTAATAAGATTTAAACAGTTACAGACAAGTTAAAAGTTAATAATTAGAGCTCTCCATTAAATGCAGCAATTGACAAAAGGAGTTTACTAAAGAAAGTGTTGTCAATCTAGCGGAACTAGATTGACGACACGTGCTGATCGTATCAACTTTGACAATTTCTCTTCAAATTAAATGCATATCGGCCACAACACAGCAATTGGTGGAGACTCGAATAATTTAAGAATTTTAGGTTTTTGGATTGAACGTGAGGTCCAGAATCCCCTACTATTTACCTGACTCAATCAAGAACTTGATAAAGAGCAGATTGAGTCACAGAGACTCATTGATTTTCCGTTAGTTTTTTTTTGCAATATTTTCCGCGGATATGGGTTGACAGAAATACTGGAGTATTCCTTGCAAGGGAGAGTCACGGGGGGACTTAACCCCTAAGATAATATTTGATGGGCTTTGCATGGCAAGTGCCTGAATTTTTTTCCCCGGAAAATTTTTTTAGATCTATAAAACAAGAACTATTGTCTGCCTTAACTTGAATTTTGTACTGGGTAACTGAGCGGTTGAAAGTCGATCGCGTAATTTCGGTTAGGATCGGTAAGGAAAGACTGCTTACAGGGTACAGTGTGAAAATCCATGGATTAGACGGCTCATCTAATCAATAGGAAAAGATTTAAAAGGATTTCACTAAATCAGAACCTAGGAAGAATAAAGTAAATAGACTTTGGCATTTTAAAAATGAACCCTTTGAATTTTTATTTACTCGTTTTGAACAAGACATCATGTCGCTCTTAATGAACTAAAAAGAACTACGTGGACATATTATGTAAAGGGATCATGGTGAGCTTCTTCCTAATGTTAGTGCCAAACACATGTTGTCAGACACCATACGTCACGGAGCG